TCTACTAACATTATAAATTAAGGTCTGAGCTTCCCAGTTATTCTTTTTTATTCTAACATGCCTTCTTAACCTGTAAACATGAGAGAACAATGTTGTGTTAACAGAACTGTAAACACGTGAAGAGAATTGTTTAAATACATTAATTTAAAATCATAAAAATGGTTTAAACTAATCAATAATCAACAGGATATTTTACAAACTGCTAGATCAATAAAAGCGACCATAACTATGTTGGGTGTCAAAAAAAAAAACAAATCTAAGATTTAGCAGTATCTTTATTACGACCATTTTTAAAAAATGACATAAAAATGTGCAAATTTTTGAACGATTCAGAACTCTTCACCAGGCAAGCGATCACAAAAAACAGAGCACGAAGAAGGTCCAAAAATTAGGCCAGATACGGTTACAATTTAAAGTCTTTCCCCATTTTCCTTAGTGGTTATATTTTCCAATAATGCCTAGAGAATGTGCAAAATGTCCGGCTTTGATACACACGTCCAACCTTTTACTTTTGATAATAGTATCCGTCCCTCTTATTTCGGAGCGCATTCGAAACGAGAAGAAATGGCTCGCTAACATCGTAATCCCACCTTAAAAGCGAGTCTCCTAGAAACAGCACGCCTCCTGAAGGATCAGCTCTTAATCCCTCCCCTCTCGGCGCTTTTCAGATCGGAGACAAACCGACCTCGCGATCCACTCAAGCCTCCATCCCAGCCCCTCAGCTGCCTCTTCCCATCCGCCCTTCTTCTCCTTTCAGCGAGCAAAGGGGCGGGGAAAAGGGAATGACGGTGACGTTGACACTGACTGTGAACTATGAGGCGGCGCTTGCGCCGTCGCTCGTGTACACGTCTCCGTCCCCCTCCACTAACCGCTTTTCCCCAATGTACGGGGGGGGAGAAGAGACGAGGGGGAGGGGAAGAGCGAGGGAGGAGTTGGAATGGTGACGTATCAGGCCGCCCTTCCTCCTTTCTGCTCCTCCCCCTCGCCCACCGTGAGTGACTCCCATCAGGGCACAGCGAGCGCGCCCGCGCCAGTCAGCGCATTAAGAGCCTGGCGGCCGCCTACTTTTCTTCACCCGGAGTGACTGGGCTGCCCGCGCGCTCTCTTCCTCCACACTCAAAGGACGGTTTGTGCGCGGGAGGCTGTACGTTTCATCAGGGCCCGGAGGCTCGCGGCAGCCGCCGCCGCCCTTTACACAAAAGCGCGGCGGGGG